TATGTTCGAGCATCTTCTGGGTATATGCCTAGGAGTGGTATAGCTGGGTCCTCGGGTAATGCTATGTCCAATTTTCTGAGGAACCGCCAGACTGATTTCCAAAGTGGTTGCACCATCTTGCAGTCCCACCAACAATGGAGGAGTGTTCCTCTTTCTCCACACCCTTGCCAGCATCTACTATCACCTGAGTTCTTAATCTTAGCCATTCTGACTGGTGTGAGATGGAATCTCAGGGTTGTTTTGATTTGCATTTCCCTGATGACTAAGGATGCTGAACATTTCACTTTTTAAATCTTATTTGTACTATTCAGTCAATGCTAACAATATGTAAGCATATAAAACCATCTACATTTATTCCCAGATGGTCAATTACAACTTACTGTAAATTTTGTTCCTACACAACCTGGTTGTTATCCTAACTTGTAAAAGCAGATACATTATGTCATCATGTGTTTGAAGCTTGTAAGTTGAATCTTATGTTTTACATGATGAACATCCTATATTATTTCCAGTAAACTATATGAGTTATGTCATTTCTTATATAAAATTTTTGCTTATACATATACAAATATTTGTGAGCATATGTCCTACATTGTTGTCTACTGGTATGGAAAACATTATGGCCAAAACAGCTTGGGAAGAAAGAGTCTATTTCAACTCATAACTCAGTCAATCTTGAAGAGATGTCTTGAAGAAATGTGGGTAGGAAATCAAGACAACAATCTGGAGGCAGAAACAGTTGCAAAGGCCATGGAGGTGTGTGGATTGTTGGCATGCTTTCTATGGATTGCTCAGCCCACTTCATTATAAAACAAAGAACCATCATCCTAGAGATAGCATGACCCACCATATCTTGGGACTACCCACATCATTCATCAATCAATAAAATATTCAAAGAATTCCTGGCTTCACAATTAGATGGAGGTATTTTCTCAACTGAATTTGTTCTTTCAAGATGATCCATGTTGTGAGTAGTTGAAAAATATACCAACCAGAGCAATATATTAAATTATAAAATTTTACTTTAAGGAATATGTGTAAATATATATCCTGTATTTAGATTTCTTAGTCTGAAATACTTAAAAAGAATTAACTGTTATAAAATTAATGTTTGTTATAATTATTTATTGCATTCAAATAATCTGCATTTCTAAAATTTTTCTAATTAGATATTAACAAACATAACTTTATATGTTCTTCAGACACTGTAAAATGTCTAGATATCACTATTCAAACAACTTTCTTGGAAGTTGAAAAAATGACATACAGTTTTTATATAATTCAGAACTGAAATTTATAAATATAAAAATTTCTGGTGATCCATTTCCTCTAAGATATGCAAGATGATCTGCATAAAAGAACCCCAGGTCTGGGCACTATAGCATTTACATCTTTGTGCCTGAACCTCAGCCACAGGAGTACAGAGAGAGAAACCTTTCTCAGTTTAGTATTGCCCAGAATCAGGACCCAGGAGTGCACTGAGGGAAAAGCAATTCTTACAGCCTGTGTGATCAAAACCAGCAGCATTCTCTTCAGAAGCAGAGGATCCCAAACCTTGATAATTAGGGACAGAAAGTAAATGGAATACAGGAAGATGGAGGCAATCAGTGTCTGCAAGGCTCTGATGTGGGCCTTGGTGCTGACATCTCTGCACCCTTGGGTGCTGTGTTGCATCTTCCTCTGATGTTTCCACAAGGAGAAGAATAGCAGGATAAATGTAACCAGTGACAACATAAATGGTATGAGCATAAAGGAGGTGTTGACAAATGAAAACAGCATAGAAAGCTGTGTGTTATTCAAGATGAAGCTTTTAGACATATTTACCTTATTATATTCAATGATTAAAATGTTCTCAGGTATATTAATAACCATAATATTTAGGCACAAGAGAACCGAAGACATTATCAATGTCCTTGTCGTTACTTTTTTAACTCTGACCTTTAAATAAAGGAAAGCAGCGTTGGAAAAATTTGCTATCTTGAAAAAACAAAAGATGTTGAGACTTGTAGCAAGCCAGATACTAATATGATTGAAAGTTGTCGCTACACTGAGTATTATCCTAACAGTTCTCTCTGTCATCCATTTTCCTGGGTAGAACATATATAGCCACCAATTCAATGATATTAAACACAGCAGTGCAATTCTGGAGACGGCCAGAGCAGTGAGGATCGGATCCACTGAAGAGATCTTTCTTCCCTTGACCAAGTCCATGATGTTCACCACTGCTATGAATCCATTGCCCAAGGTGCCAATTATAAATTCCACACTCAGAATGACTATAAATGTGATCTGTAGGACACTATTCATCTTCACTTGGATGCTTCAATTTATATTGTCATTACTTAAGATTTGTTAAAACATGCTATAAAATGTTCTGCAAATTCAATAAATGAAGTTCCATATTATGTTCCCTTAAACAAGATACAGATCTAATCCCAACAAAGCCATTAAGCCTTGCTAGTGATTTCATTCTCTCCATCACAAAAGTCTTGTATTTCCCTAGAGAGAAGAACTAACCTCCATGTAGACGTAGTTTGCATTAGACACAGCAGCCTAGAGACATTGCAAATTTTGGTGAAGGAAATGTTGGTCTCTTGTGCTGAGAAGCAAATGAAGATATATTTATTTGCATTGTTTTGCTCATTTTTTCTTATATACATGTTATTCTATTAACATGAGTATAGATAAATCACATAAAAAATGTTTATCCTTTATATAAGGCAGAGAATGTCTGAATTTATACCTAGTAATTCCTTAGTACCACACATCTTTAGAAACTTTTGAATCAACTAAGTTCCACGCCTATGGATGGTAAGTGAATCACTATTTACAAACTATCCACAACCCAATAATTTCATGAGACTTTCTACTTTATGTAAAGAAAAAAAGAGTTAGAAAAATTGGCTAGCTTTAGAAAATAAAAGACACATCTGGTAGCAAACCAGATGTTCAAATGGATGTTCACTACCCGGATAATACCCATTGTTGTAAGCATTTCTGGTCTCATAAGCAAATGTGGGAATTGTATGTATAAAAATATATAATTGACCCTAGACCACACATAAATGAGTCTAGTAAGGGCCAAAGCAGTAAGTATATGTTCTACTGAAGAGATTCTTCTTCTCCTGACCCAGTCCATGAAATTTACCAGTGCTATGTGTCTGTTTCTTAAGATTCCCCTTACTATTTCCACAAATAAGGTGATTGCAAAAGTAAAGAAATACCTGTTGATCATTGTCTGTGAGAATATTTCTTTTTTATATATTTTATCTATTCCTTCGATTTATTTTTTTATTTTTTTATTTTTTTCACAAATCGTAATTAATTCACACTGAGGTTATAAACACATAAAGGCAGGATGTAGGGAATGGAATGACACTGGAGTGTAGGTGTTCATGGGAAATACAAATATCTTCAGAACCGGGTATTGGCTAGGTGAAGGTTCAGGGGACAAGTCACTATGACTCTGCCTATGACTCGCTTGTCCTTATCTAAGTTGGTATTGTCTGCCAAGGCTACCTATTTACAAGGTCTATGACTACTCAGGCTTATAAATTTCCACAAAAGCTGCCTGTTGACATTAGCTTATAGCCATCTGTTTCAATGTTTTTCCACTGAGACCCAAGACTTGGTGTTAGTATGCATGCATTACAGGCCTATTGTTGATTTTAGGCCTATGGCTGATTTTAGGCCTACAGTGTGTAAGCAGGGCTGCCCCAGACATATCCTCCCTTCTCTAAGTATAGAAGGGCTGTGGGAATTCTAAACTTGCAAAGGCGGGGATAGAGGCCTGACCTCCAGTATTTGAAGGGGATCTTGTAATGGCTCCAGTCCCCCTATCGTTGTCCAGTGAGGCATGAGGGCCATACCCATCCCGATGTCTTTTTCCTGGAGAGGGGATACTTTTGACATCAACCCCTATGCAGTCAGGCTTGTCCCTCAGGGAACGCAGATAGATATTTTTTATCTTTTATTTATATTCCCTTGCAGTGCTTAGCCTCACACCTAAGCAAGAATTCAGATTGCCTGTCAGAGGGGGTTCTGGGTGGCCCCTCTATGTTTGGTCTAGGGGCAGAAGTCCCCCCTTTTGGGTTGGGTGGAGATGGGTTTTGGAAACACCCTGTATAAAGTAACAACCTTATCTTGAGTCTCGTGGTCCACCATAGCTAACTTATGATAATGTATCTGAGTAGGTTTTGCCACCAAGTTATTTATCTTATGTATCACAGAGTTAGTCTGCCTATTTGAGGGCCAGGGACCAGCAGAAACAAGCAAAAAGAACCCAAATAATGGTCCCAAGATGGAAGGAAATAGGGTTGACAACCTTGGAGAGGCTGCAAACCACTTCTTCTACCAGCATTCATCTGTCTCTTTCCCCCTCTGATTTTCCTTAGGGCCTTCACTACCTATTTCATGCTCTCTTTAACCCTCCTTGTCTTGTCTATGTAAAGGCAACCTTCTTCTTTGAGGGTTGTACACAGTCAAGAGCTGTTTGTACCCTTTTCTATTGTACTAGAGTAAATCAAGTCCAATAAGGATCTTTGCGATTTTAGGAGGTCTCTTCAGACAGCGAAACGAGGGATTTCTTCAGATTAGTGATGTCAATCTCTAGCTGTTTGATATTCTTGTCAGTGGCCCTTCAAAGGTCTGAGTAGTATAAGTTCGGAGGCCAGCATCTGGATTAGAACTTCTAACAGCAGGCATCATGGGTGATTCATTTTTACCTGGGACGCTGTGTGAGTTAAAGCTCCTGGGAGTCCCTGTTTCTCTTGGTTTTCTGTGGTTGGGTACGGAGCTGCCACCTGTGACATGCTCTATTCTCGGGCCCAGACTGGAAATTGAGAATATTTCAATTTAGAATATCTCTGCCCTCTAGGTTCTCCCCTGTCTGTCTGCATACCTAATCCTTCCTTCCCCTCCCATTATCCTTATCCATCCCTCTACCTCCCGTAATTATTTTGTTCTCCCTTTTATTTGGGAACCAAGCATCCACACCTGGACCTTCCTTCTTATTAAGATTCATACAGTCTCTGAGTTATTTCATGGGTATTCTGAGCTTTTGTCTAATATTCACTTATCACTCAGTACACCCCATGGAGGTCCTTTTTGGTCTATGTTCCCTCACTCAGCATGATATTTTCTACTTCCATTCATTTGTCTGGAAAATTTGTGATGTCCTTGTTTCTAATAGCTTAGTAGTATTCCATTGAGTAAATGTGCTACATTTTTTGTATCAATTCATCTATTGTGGGACATCTGGGTTGTTTTCAGTTTCAAGCTATTACAAATAAGGCTACTATGAACATAGTGGAGCATGTGTACTTATGATATGGTAGAGCATCTTTGTGTATATGCCCAGGAGAAGTATAGCTGTGTGTTCAAGTAGAATTATTTCCAATTTTGTTGGAATTACCAGATTTAATTCCAGACTTGTACTAGTTTTCAATCCCACAAGCAATGGAGGAGTATTCCTCTTTGTCCACATCCTTGCCAACATCTGCTGTCACCTGAGTTTTTTGTCTTAGTCATTCTGATTGGCATAAGGTAAAATATCAGGATTATTTTAATTTGCCTTTCCCTGATGGCTAAAGATCTTGAACATTTCTTTAGGTGCTTCTCAGCCATTTGAGATTCCTTAGGTGAGAACTCTTCTCTTAGCTCTGTACCTCAGTTTTTAACTATATTATTTGGTTTTCTGCACTCTTATGACTTGAGTTTTTTTGTATATTTTGGATATTAGCCATTTATAAGATGTAGGATTTGATAAGATCTTTTCCCAATCTGTAAGCTGCCATTTTGACTTGATAACAGTGTCCTTTGCCTTACAGAAGCTTTTCAATTTGGTAATCCCATTTTTCTACAGTTGATCTTAGAACATGAGGCACTGGTGTTCTGCTCAGGAAATTTTTCCTGTGCCATTATGTTTGAGGTTTTTTTCCCACTTTATCTTCTATTAGATTCAGTATATCTGGTTTTGTCAGACCTTTTATCCACTTCAACTTGTGCTTTGTAAAAGGAGATAAGAATGGATCAATTTGCATTCTTCTACATGCTGACCTCCACTTGAGCCAGTACCATTTGTTGAATAGGCTGTCTTTTTTTTCACTGGCTAGTTTTGGCTTCTTTGTAAAAGATTAGGTGATCATAGGTGTGTGGGTTTAATTCTGAGTCTTAAATTCTATTACTTTGATCTACATGTCTGTCTCTGTACCAATACCTTTTGGTTCTTATCACTATTGCTATGTAGTAGAGTTTGAGGTCAGGGATGGTAATTCTCACACTTCTCTTATTGTTGAGAATAGATTTGCTATCCTGGGCTATTTGTTATTCTAGATAAACTTGACCAATACAGATGAGGATGTTCACAGCCAACCATCTGACTGAGCATGGTGACCACATGGGAAGAGTTAGGGAAAGGGACTGAAGGAGCTGAAGGGGACTGCAACCCCATAGGAAGAACAACAATATAAACCAACCAGATTTCCCAGAGCTCTTAAGGTCTAAACCACCAATCAAAGAGTATACACGGAGGGACACATGACTTCAGCTGCATATGTAGCAGAGGATTGCCTTATCTGGTATCAGTGGGAGGGGAAGCCCTTGGTCCTGTATTGGCTCTATGCTGTAACATAGGGGGATGCTAGGGTGGTGAGGCTAGAGTGGGTGGGTGAAGGAGCACCACAATAGAAGCAGGAGTGACGGAGGATGGGCTAGTGGCCATTGCAGAGAGGAAACCAGGAAGGGGGATGATATTTTAAATGAAAATAAATAAAATGACAAATAAAAAAATCCCACAGAATACAGACTCATGTAACACTTGGAAGTTCTGTTTGTATTAATAAATGTAAAATTTTATATATATGAAGATAAATATATCTTTAGGTTAAATGAAGTATTTGTGCTCTTTAAAAAGAAAAGGAAACATGGAAATCTCACAGGATTTATTTAATAATTCCTTCATGAAAATCTTGGTTTTTTTTCTTCCCAAAGTGTTCAAGACTACATCATCCAGTTTTCTGAAATTAAATGAAATATTGAAGATTTATTACCAAAACAAAAAAGATATATTTATCTACATTATTTTCACTTTTCCCCTATCTACTCATTTTAGTAACACAAAATAACTTCTGAGTAATATTAAAAATTATAATTCCTATGATATCTTAAAAGAATATAAACTGGCATTGAGGTACTTCTGAAAGTAATGATTTATAAAGATTTTAGTTAAATAAGTGAATGAAATTTTTGTTATGTACACATATGTAAATCTATGCAGTCATTGGTCAAAAAAAGTTGCACATTGTACC